TGTGTGTGTGTGTGTGTGTGTGTGTGTGTGTGTGTGTGTGTGTGTGTCCAGGCAGGGCTGTTGGTGGAGCCAAACTGAAGCAGTCCTGGTCGGTCGGGTCCAGAGCCATGGGCAGAGGCAGCCGGATCCCGGCCCTGGCACCCCGGGCCAGAGGACACACGCCAGGGAAGCACTGAAACTGGTTGAAAGCACCAAGAGGGAGACGCCCAACAGCGACCGACGTCCCTGTAGAAACAAACTTTACCTGTCGGGACACCCCACTCCCACATTTCCTGCTCCCATGTTCCTGCATATCAGTCAGCACTTTTAGAAAAGGCATCTGATTGGTTTCACATCTTTGTAAGTGAATTCTCAGCACAAACATTACAGCATGGTGTTGGATCCACTTATTGAGACACTGTAGATTTGCCATATGAACTCTTTAAGTTTCTAGTCCTGTTGTGGTGGTCAGTGACAGAACATCTACACAGAGAGGCCACAGCTGGACTCAGCAATGTTCAATCTCTTGCCTCTTTTGTCTATATGTCAAACCTCTGGCATCTCACACCTCCCGGGCTAGTAAACATGTGCACACCGTGTGCTGTTTCCTGATATCCCCTTACAGGATGTCTCTGTTTTGAGGGCTCATTGACATTTGGAGCCACCATGGTGAGGAATTGTACAGCTTACAGGGGTGGACCATTGATTTGGTATATGACTTCCATTAAAGGCAGTGTGTAGGATTGTTAGGGCGATCTATTAGCAGAACTCGAATATAATATTCATAACTATGTTTCTCTGTTTTGTGTAAAATCAACTGAAACTAAGTTGTGTTTTCGTTAGCTTAGAATGAGCCGTTGGTATCTACATAGGGAGCGGGTCATCTTCACGGAGTCCGCCATCTTGCACCGCCATGTTTTCTACAGTAGCCCAGAACGGACAAACCGCTGTTCCACCAGCAACCGTCTGACTTCCGTTGCTCCTAAAGCCGTGTTATTGTGGTCAGGATGGCCCTCTGAGCGAGGCCAACAGCGCTACCACGGTTTTGCACTGGACAGCTCACGTTACTGCAGTCGCTGGATGCCACCAAATCCTTCACACTGTACCTTTTTCAAGTTTTGGTTTTAAGTTTGACTCACAAGAGGCAGATTTAAAAACGAATGGTCAAAGATATTCCTGACTTTCGTGCCTAATGGCATCTTTTCATTGGACCCTGTCTGTCCACACCCTCAGTTTGCTGTACAGGCTTTCTCTTGTAAATCTGTTGTTAACGAGCCCCAGCTGAGATGACGTCATAGTGATGTCATCAGACTCGGGAAAGCTAGTAAACTAACCAATGTACCCAAGCTATCTAATGCACCTGTACATTTTATTGTACAATTTTAAAAAAAACGGCATTTTTTACATCCAAAAAATGATTTTCAGCGTTGTATTTAAAAAGAGCTGTAGATCACAAGCTCTTCAGTAAAAACCCAGGATATAACCAGTGTAATAAAATGAAATATGTAATCAGTGGCTCCATCTTACCAGAGGACAGGGAGAGCAGCTCCTGTCCTCTGGTAAGAAACTCTCCTCTCTCTTTGCAGAAGCGGCAGTGAGAGGAGAGGAGAGGAGAGGAGGAATGATCTTTGCTTACAAGAAGGAAACTTTTGCTTCCTTGGCAACCCTTCAGCATCCTAAAGCTTTTGACAACACGAGTGCACCGTTGCACTCAGCTTCACGCATTGCCGTCTGTTTACATTTCTCCTTTCATTTCCGGTCGTAAATAAATGATATCGAAGGAATGAAGTAGCACTTTGCCAAATGGATGATGCGGAAATTCCAGTACACAGTATGACCTTTATTTATTTTCCTGCTCATCGCCGACTGACGATCTTGACCAGATGGCACAGTTTTATATACTCCACTAGTCCAGGGAGGGAGACAAAGTATATCTTTTAACGTAACATAATTATTTCAATGAATAAAAAACACACACACAAAAGGAGATGAACGCATTGTTATGCAGTAGAATTTCTGTAGCACCTGTTTTTCTGCTGAATGTGAAGGAGGCTGAGACAGACAGACAGTTTGAAGCACGTCAGTCTCTTTAAATTGATTTTAGCAACAAACTAAAGAGTTTAAGAACTCTTGACAACAATTTGCTAGATTTATATTTCATGCTATAATTGTACTACTTCTATTGTACTGCACAGTGTTACGACGATGTTGATTGTGATATATCTGTGATTCCTCCACAGCCAAGAAGGACTAAAACAGAAACAATCCGTAAAACAGTCGGAGGTGTTTTTGAACGTTATTTTGCATATTGTAATATCAGTAGGGTAACTTCCTTAAGGGGCGTGATACTGTTTACTGTTGGGAGATGTATAAGAGAGTATATTTATATATATCACATTGGCTTTAATATGCTTCTGTATTGAGGACGATTGTGACTGTTTTTATGTGCATAGTAGTCAGTATTTTCTGAATACTTATGGCATCAAATGGCTATTTTTTTTGTGTGCAAAAAAGTATTTGTTTAAATAAAGCTCCATGAAGCTGGACTTTGCAGATGTGGTTCCACTTGACAGAAGGTTTCTGATACTTTCACATATTTTTGCAAATCTCTCTCCAGCAGTTCACACATCGACACGAATCAAATGCTGCAACAGTAATATTCTGCATTTACAAAGTTGACGGATAGCTCCACTTTTATTGACATGATCACACATAAATCTGCAGTATTACAGCCTGTCAGCGTCTTTGGTTGTTTTTGTTGGCCTGCCTCTGCAAATCGTAGACACGTGAATCGACACTTGCAATATATTAACTTAAAACAATTAAATCATTTAATTTTGTACAATTTCAGCACCCTACAAGAAAAAAAAAATCAACTATGAATGCAACAGTTCATTCCATGATGTGTGCCGTGAGTCCATACAGTTCACTGCGACAGTCGCACTGAAATCCTGAAATGAAGATATGGACAATAAAAATGTGCTGTTTCAGAGGAACACCTGGATGTAACAAGTCCAGTCTTATTCATGCCTGCACAAACACGCACTAAAACCTTTACAACCACGTCTCTATATCTACATTGGATCTCGGACTGAGATGACAAGAGTGATGATGAAAGCACAACCTGAAATGGCACCAAGAGTCAAAAACCTTCCTGGGCACTGTGCAGTTGTGTGGTAGTGGTTTCATATAATGGGCAAAACAAATATCTAAGTAGTGGGACAAGTGGATGAAAACCCAACCTGCTCAGAGGAGTTTGCAGCTTTTTGAATTTAACACAAACAATATATATTATTTGATCATAGTTGTTGCTTCCCTTAGCTACAGGACTGATGCGTAAAGATCATCATGTATGATCACAAGTCTTCTGTGTATTATGTTCCGCTTTGGTGAATCACTTATGTCTATAGTTTAGTTTACATGGCCATTACATTATACGCTGATCAGTCATATGGACATCCTCTGGGCGCAGACCAGGTCCTTGTTGTGCACCACGCTCCACATCCGGAGCAGCTCCTGCGCGCTCAGTTTGTGCACCACGATGAGGTTTCGGTAAAAGCAGGGCTCGCTGTTCATGGGGCTCACCTTGCGTCTGGTGATGCCGAAGGTCCTGAAGCCCGGGTGTATCTCTGGGGCCAGCCGAAGCTTCTGCAGGCACATGCCCAAAAACACGTCGTCGATGGGGTACAGCTCCAGGTCCTCCGAGACCACGAAGAGCCTCCTGGCCAGCTGGGAGGACATCAGAAACCCCCCACCCCCGGCGTACGGGGGATACGGCTTGTCGTACAGCTCTTTGGGGATGTAGTACTTGCTCTGCCGGTTCCGGATCGGGATCGCCTTGGAGATGGTGTCCCCCACGAACAAGTCGGCGTCCTTGCGCTCCTCCACTTTGAAGGCGATGAGCTGCAGCAGGTTGCGCGTGTTCACAAACACGTCGTCGTCTCCTTTGAATATGAACCGCACGCTGGAGCAGTAGATGTTGAACCACTTGAGGAAATTGACCTCTTTCAGGGTCAGATTGAAGAAGGTGTCCATGAAGTCCCACTGGAGGATGTCCCCGTAGATCATGTCCTCGTACTCGATCAGTTTCTGGAGGTTCTTGGTGTCTTTGCCGGTCGTCGGGCTTCCCAAAAGAAACAACGTTTTGATTATCTTCCCGTCCACCGTGTGCTCGTGTCCCCAAGTTTTGCGCACCGCCTCCCGCCGGTCGTGCTGCTCGATGACGGACTTGACCACCACGAGGAGGTGCACCTCTCCGTCGGCGCATTTCTCCGGGTGGTTGATGAGCATGGGGAAGTACCGACAGTGTCTGTGCAGGACGAACTGGTGAAACCTCGGGTCCAAGCGCCGGAACCAGTCCTTGGTCCTCACCGACGCATCCTCGCTGCAGTTGAGAACCTGCGCGTCCCAGGTAGCCGAGGTCCCGTTGGAGACCCGCAGCGCGTCCAATGCGTAACCAACCACCGGAGAGTCCGAACTCCCCAAACTGTTTTTATTAATGGCTCCCTTCTTGAGGGGAAAACACTTGGGGCCGCACCAACCGGCGTCCCTCGCATGCTTGACCCCCATCCCGTCCTTCTCTGCCAGCTTCAGCTTGTGGATCATGAGGAAAGAGGCAAAGACGAGAGACAGACTCAGCAGGGGTTTCAGCAGACCGACCCGCTTTCTCCGGGAAAAGTGATCCATGGCTCTCAGCGCGGCGCACAGAGACCCTCAGATGCTGGACCTTCTGCCTTCATAGTGTGTCAAAAAACGTTTCGTCCGCGAGTGGAGTCTCCATCACTGCCGTCCCTGCTCATTTAGGACACCAGAGGTCGCGTACTCGGGCACGTGAGAGCGCTGACAGTGAAGTGGCCCCGGGGCCCCGTTTGCCCATGGCGGCGCTCAGCCGAGTCAAGCATCGCCTCTCAGTGCGGGACAAGGATGCGGGAAACACAACACGTCCTCAGGCTTCTCCTCTGCCTTCTGTCTCAGAATGACTGGAGACCTGCTGCAAGTCCCCCCCCCCCAAATATCTCCTCCCCTAAATGACCGGCACTGATCTGGGACCAGCAGGTTTCCCATTTCTCACACAACAACCGACCATTCAGCTTTAATTTGGTTCGATCGATCTAGCCATTGCTTTCGAATAATATTCGGCTACAATACATGATGAGACATTATAATGATCAACATACACCATGAGTTACTTAGAAGTAAATGGAAACAATGAGACGTTTAATTAACTTGGGAGTACAAAGCATGCAATACAATGCAAAAATATACAGTAAAATAATCATAAAACAGAGCAAAGGCATAATAAATATATATTAACGCACATATAAAAAGAAAGCACTGTTTTCAGATCCTGAGCATTATGGAAAACTATGTCTACCAGAAGTTTAATTTTAAATACGAGAGGGGCCGGACAATATACTAAATATAGCCACTTAAATGTGTAGAATTTGAAATAAGAATAATCAGCCTGTAAACCATTTGTGCTTTTATTGTTCTTCTCGTGTTTAAATATTCCAAAGAAAACATATTTTAAAGAAAATAGATCCAAACACGTTCCAGTGTGAATACAAGACCAAACAGTCGTTTCAGAAATGGATTCACTATGACAGCTGGTATCAACAACCCTCTCTGAATTAAAAAAAGTTCTCCTTTCACCTTATTTAACAGGTCATGCTCCAAACATTTTATTCCAATGTATGTGTTCAGCTGTTTTATCTCAGTATGATATTAGAGACGGTGCAGCATCTTGTTGAAAAGGTTTCCTTGTTGAAACTAACATAGAAACAACAGGAACAGTCTATCACAATGATAGTAAACATCCTAAAGCAATAGTATCAAAAACAAAAGTGATTTATTTTGGTCTTATTGTTATTAGATACTTACATTGCCATACAGCTCGTTTGGTTTAAGTAACTGCCGAGACAGCCCAACAGTTGTTGAAGCCAATTCTCAAATAGATAAGAATATTCATTCCTTATTATTATTTATTATAATTATAAAGACTCTAGCACCCTCTTGTGGCCAATTTATGGAATAACGTCTCCTCCCATTTTGTCACTTCACATTTTGTTCAACCAAAGCCTCAGATCAGAAGTTTAACTAAAATGGCATTCATCTCACTCTTTTACTCTTTTAACACTTGAAAACAAAATTGTAAACAGTTACAGTAAAAATGATTTAACAAAAATGAGGAATAAAAATAAAGATTCTGCGAAAGCCTTTTTATAGTCGATAGCCTACACTAGTACTTGGTTAAATTGTGTGGAACTGTCTTTTAGACAGGTACATATAAAGCTAAAAGTTGTACTTTAATCATCTAACAGCAAAGAGAGAGACACACCTCAACAAAACCCCGGAATCTGGTGACTCTCATAAAACAATGGGCGGGGACAGGATGGAGTGGAGGTGTCCTCTGTTGAGTAGTGGAATGATGTTGCAGCAGGCTAACCAATGAGGAAGAGGCTGAGATAATGGTACTTCTGTTCCAGTACACAGTTTCAGAGTGAAAAATAATAATTTGGAAAGAAAAGCATTGAGGATGAACAAAATGTGCCATTTAGCATGGGAGAGTTAAGTAAGGTGGTGGTGAGGAATACTGCACCAGGGAAATGTAGGAATGATTAAAGTGTGGAAGAAAGAAGAATCCCAAATCGGACCCTGTAGGAGTCAACTAGCTCCAGAAGGTGGCAGTAGTGCAACATTAAGGATGTAAGCTGCCGTTAAAAACCAACGAAGAAGACGAAGACTGACTTTTTTTTTTGAAGACGCCATATATCATCCATGCCATCACATGCCTCATAGTTTGTAGCTAATCCGAGCCATTTAGTTTGAAGAATAATAAAGTACAGAGTCGAGACTTGAAACGCAGAGGCATTGCGCCGGTAAATAGAGCACATGGAAGGCGTTAAGGTAAGCTCACGTTAAGTTACGTAGCGGCAGGCTGATTCACAAGGCACAAGAATCACTTCAGTGTTGTCCGTGGTTACAACGACAGGCTAGGAAGATGGGGAACAACTAAGACCTCACCAGAGCTAACGGAAGTGTCCGATAATGCATCTCGACATATTGGCTAACTTACATGCTAATGAGGCTAGCAAGACAGCTAAGAGCTACCATGGAGTAACGTTCATCTACTAGCTGCCTGTCAGCTAACTACTGTCAGTTACCGTTCGCCATGATGGTTTATTTACTAACAGTGCGCATGGACTTTAATAACCAAAAAGCGCAGTTATGTTACTGGTCCAGTTGTCTTTTATTTACTGTTAGTTACTTATAACTGTTTTTGTGAACTTCAACTCGCCAACTGCTTTGACTCGCCTGATGTGTGCAGACGTAGCGTTAGCCGATTAAACCCCCGAGATGACCGGAGGTCTCTGAGTCATGGCTGACGACAACATTTTTGTGGGGGAGGAGCCTGTTCAGAGGTGTCACCGGGGCGTTTTTGGGGTTTCAAACTGCTCAGGTGGCTTTACAGAGCCATGGTGGGTCTCACAAATATAAACACTTTAAATATTAAAAGGTGCTGCATATGCTGCTTTCCCGCATATCATTGATTCATCTTAAACCAGCATGTCTGTCCCATATCAGCTTTTAAAAATATTAATGTCTTGTCTTATTTTGTTTCTAAGCACCCTTACTTTAGGGTTAGGGCCACTAAAACCTTGCATAACGCAGTTAATATGACAAACTTACTCGCTGTGACGGTGATTATCCGGGGCAGCCGTTTGAAATGCACACATAGACATAACCAAGCGTTACTCGTTGCTTGGAAGCACTTTTCGCAGTGAAATACCTCTAACGTCTTGTTCTTTTAAAGCTGGCTCGCATAAAAGAATGGCTGGATGCTGACCCACTCTTTTACAGGGCTGTGTTTTGGAAAGTTGCTTGGCTTGTGATATCACTGAAGCTTGTTGCATTCGGCTTAAAGCAGATAAAAAACCAACCTTTTTCCGTGAACTGGTCGCTTTTGATTGAGTTTTGCCACACGGGATGAAAAAAAAACACGTTATGCTGCTTTGCAGATGCCTGGTCGACTTGACGGCTTGAGGCCCAGAAAGAGGAAGAGCAGCTCCAGAAAGGTTTGTGTTCACCTGTAAACCGGAGAGAACGGCCTGTATAAAGAGCAACGATCTCAAATCAAATGTCTTTCTTCAAACAACTTACCGTGTTTGATGTGTTTTTTTCTTCCCTACACTGGACAATTACAACTGGCTAGATTTCCACAACTGCATCTGAGAACTTGTACTTGACGCGCATTAGGCTCGCTGTACAGTGTGTCTTGCGTCCTTTTACAGATGTCGGATGATGTACGTTGGCATAAGAGCAACCGGAAATCGATCATGGTGAACTGTGATGTCATCCTAACCCTGGTTTTTAACCCTCTCACAGGCTTCGACTCCAAGAAGTGGATGTACGAAAAGTCCAAAGACGCAGCCGGCAGCAGAGAGCAGCTCGGTGGTCGGCGTTTGCAGCAAAGCGGACGTTCCTCTGGAGAGGCTCTCTCACATCAGCTGTGAATGCCACCAGCTGTCAGGCAGGAGGAGGTGCTCGGCGTCACCGGAGCTTGAGGGACAGGAGGGCAAAGAAAACGAACTGAGGACGAGGCCGGAACTGGACAGCCCCAGAGTGAAGGAGTCCGAGGACATGGACTGTGAGGAAACCAGCAAAAACATCTTCCCGGATGACGACAGCAATCAGATTCTTCCCGTGGAGCAGTTCTTTGGAAACTTGGACGCAGTACAGGTGAGGTCGGTTTCTTTATTGCCACTTTAGGGACAATCTGTGACTCTGGTTGCTTGAGGCTCTTGCAGTGGAAAGCTTCCCCAGCTTGTGGCCAGTTAAGGAGTGGCTGTGTTGATAAGACACTAAACAGTTTGATAGCTTTCATTATGTTACATCACGGGACTTTGTATTTTTGAATTACACGCAATATTTTTAGGGGCTAACTCGCTAACAGCAGCACATTTTAGGATGCAACAAGAGATTCAAGATGAACAACATTCTCTTGTGTGAATAAACTACAGAACATAGGTTATAAAGGTTCAGAAAGTAAGACATTGTGTTGCTCCCAAACATGCCTTTTAGTGCAGGAGTGACGCACTGCCTATTGCAGAATATTTAAATATTGCTTACATAGTATGCATAATTATTTTGTTATTTTACATTTAACAGAACAGCAAAAAGCAAAGCATGCACCATAACATAAATATATATTTAAAAATATTTTTTGCGTACGTTATATTCAAATCTAGCCGTGCATATGGCTGAACCAGAGCTGGACAACGCTTCATGTGCAGTGGTGCGGTTACGCGCGTCTCAGCATCTTTGACATCAACATGTCGCATTTTAATTATTAAGCTGACGTATGTCTGCATAGTATCTTAATTACCCAGAATACCTTTTTAAAAGCTTTGGAATGAGAGGCCCTTCTGTACCGCTATTAAATGTTGCAGCACATATATGTTTGATTGTTTGGGTGAAGATTGAATCAATTACAAACGTCCACTCTTCTATGCTGCAGGACTTCCCTCAGAGATCGTCGGAGACCTGCTCCCGTGTGCGAGGGGAGCACAGGAGGCGACATTACTACGCACCAGAGGCCAGCGACGAAGAGGAGGCGGCCTCCTCAGTATGAAGGGGGACGACAGAGCGGACACTTAGTGAAGAGGAGCTGCACTCAGAAAGTCATGCCCTGTGGAAGCACATAAAACTCTCAGCACTCAAGAAAAAGCAGCCAAAAATTGAACTACTATTGAGATTCAGTCGTTCCTTAAATCATAACGCCGTCACACATAAAGCATGTGTGTGACGATGCTCCCGATTCACCGGTGATGAAGTTACTCGCTACGACGCGAGTGAGTTAGGCATGAACTGTTGCTGGAGCCGACTCTGCGGTTGGCCTCGCCATCATTTACAAGTCGTCGTCGTTTAGCAGTTTACCACCGGTAGTTCTGACTCTGTTGAAAGCTTTAACACGTTGTTGGTGGTAAATCGGTAGTTGATGACTCGACAAGGACACGCCAAACGCACAGAAAACGCCAAATTGTTTTCACTTAGCTTGATACCCGAATATCTTATTTCATTTGATACTTTTTAATATGGTTACAGCACTGGGACACGTATAATAGTGCCTGTTTTATTTATTGCTGAATTTATGCTCACATCCCCCCCATTGTTCAGTCAACTTTGGTTTTGCCTGAGGGGGGGGGGGTTGTTGGCAGCACTTTATTTAGATAAGGATCAGGCTACAGAACACACTGCTTCATACTTTCAGTGCATGCTTTGAAGTTTGAGATTAGCCTTGAGAAATGTCAAAACAGCACTAATAAAAACGGGGAAAAAACAATCTCCAAATTACAAGTTGTTATATATGTGGAGAGGAAGGAGTGTACACGCGTCAAAGAGCAGTTCCATATTGAGAGCTTTTAATATCAAATTCAGCGTTTTGAGGTGAATGTCATTGTTCACCAAGTGTCTAATATTCATCGGCAACACATCTTTGCCCAGTTTGTTTTTTGGCAGCTGCTTAACTGCACTACACATCTGTAACATATATACATATACATATATATTTACATATATATTAATGCAGCTGTTAGGTTCATGATAGGCTGTAAGAAAAAGAAAACCTGGACTAAAATCGTTGAGGTCTGTGATCGGTCTTCAGCATGTGAGTGAAGTGATGATTACTTAAGCCTGACTTAGACGAAATGGCATCTACTCTTCTAACTTTGAGGTAATTGCACTAGTGCTGTTCACTCCTATGCAAGTTTCTGACTGAGTGAACGCCGCGTTGTAATCAATTCATGTATTCTTACATCACCGTGCCAACAAAGACAAAAATAAATGTTTTTCATGATTTCCTGGTTTAAGTGTTCTTCCGTTTGTCTAACGAAGCGCCCGTCGGTCTGTATTACAACTCTGTAGGCTTCACTGGTTCACAAAGCACAATATGGTCATATCAAATGAGGTAAAAAAAAAAAAGGCGAGGCAAGAGTGAAAACATTCACACCAAGTGCCTCTTCCTGCCCTTTGGTTTCGCGTCGCCCGAGTTAAAAATCTCCGCGGCGTCGCACAGCAGGTTGTGAGCTGCTTTGTTGTGGCACACGATGTGGACCAGCTTCAGGTTCTCCCTGGTGAACAGCAGGCGGTAGAAGTAGCCCACGTTGACGTCGGCGCTCCTGTGACTCTGCAGAGCTTCCAGCAGAGCGGGAACGATCGTCCTCTTCTTTTCAATCCTGGACACACACACACCACCGAAGAAGAAATGTTTTTAAATGTGTTCTTCAATCAGCAGGTATGTTTTAATATGTCGATGTCAGATCTATCACGCGGAGGACAACTCTATGCCAAATGAACTGTATGAATGAATGTACTAGGCCTATAGCTAGGCTTGGTTTGCACTTTGACAGTGAAATGCTTTTTTTTTTTTTTTTTTTCTCTCTTCCTTATAGAGTCCGACCTGTGGTCCAGATTCCATGTGCTGAAGACGATCCTGCTCTCTCGGCTGCCGTAGGGGTTGATGGAGTGGAGGGACGGGCACTCTTCCTGCTCAAATGATCCCTGAGGAGGCAACAGAGAAGAAAGAGGCGTAAACAACGCGCTCGAAAGCAGATCCAGTTCTTTCAAAATGTCTCGTAAGTGGTAAAGGGTCACCAGGAAGTTATAGAAATGCATCAAATGGAGGGGAGGCGACTCCTGTAATACCTGGCAGGTAAACCACCCCGCTCGAGTACAGAGGCGATCTGCTTCCTTCACCGTCCTGTCGAAGTAGCAGCCGTTGTGCTTCGCCGTCTTCAGCATTTCCGCCAGGCATTTGGATGTTTTCAGAACCTCCGCCCTGACTTTAGCCTTCTGTGTGGCTTTAGCGGCAGCATCCACCTGACCACAGAGACACGGAGCCAAACGTTTAGATTGTCATGCCACTGGCCCCTTTAGATTCCTGAGCAGAATAAGGAGCTTTTACCTCCTTCATGTAGCCTCGTATCCGGCTCTCACAGTTGGACTTCATGTAGGCCGACTTTGTCTTGAATCGAGCGCCAACACCTGGAATGAAACCCCACTTAACGACAAACTCAAACGCAGATGAAATTGGAGTCGCATCAAGTGTTTAAGGGGAACATTTCAAATATAAAGTGTGTCCTGGGTCTCCATTTGACATTGCACCTTTGAACCAGTCTTCATCCTCCTCTCTGCTCTCCAGCTCAGATCTGTCCTCCAGGTTGCGCAGCAGGTCTGTCAGGATTTTACGCCTCTTAGGAGACTGCTCATCAGAGAGGAGCCCTCTGGCCGCTTCAATGAGGCCATCGGCGTGCCGGTCTGCGCTCAGTAACCGGCCGATGTCGCACACAACTGGAGTTGGAACCACAGGGATTATAGGGGGTCAGACATCATCCTACTTCTAAACTTAGTCTGGTCAGGGTACATACACATACAGTTGAAACATTTGTCTTGTTTTTGATGGTGTCTGTTTGGATGATTGTCCTACCGCCACTCCACGTCTCATCCCTGCAGAGAAGAACCAGCTCCGTGTTGTCCGGCAGAGTTTGGAAGAATTCCTCTGTAACTTTTGTCCCATCCGCATACAAACAAACGTGTGCACCAGAAGATGGCAACTGGAAATGACAAATGTATAATTTTACTCTCAACTATTTTACAAGGGATTTTATTCTCACTGATGTGTCGGACAAATCCTCACAAATTCTGAGCCATTTCAAAAATGGATTCATTTTAATGTATTTTTCCAGTGTCTCATATAATTCAAAAGGCATGCTCACTATCTCTCACACTTTGACCACTGCGAATGCTGTGATAAGGACAAAAACAAGTTTGTGCTAGTCAGCTGTGTTCTCTTGAAAGATGTTTTTTTTGTTTTACAGAATTTGCAGATAATCTGAAGAAAGGAATTATGATAAAATACGATCTGTTTTCTTTTTTTTGTGTGTGTCTTTGTAGTTCTTTTTAGATGAATTCACTTGCGTCACAGAGATATCTGTGACACGGTCTGTGCAGATAACATGGATACATCTATCTTGTGTATCTTGTGCAGGAGCGCAGGCGGTGTCTGCTTATCTGCCCTCTTGAATGGAGATCAAGTGTTTTGGCTGCTATCTCTGAAACACACTTGGTCCTTTGTAACATTTCATTTTGAAAGGAACATGTTTTAAATGGTCTTTACAATAAAATCACTTGTTTTTGCGCGTACATTACGCACACTGACGTAGTGTAATGAACTGTACATCTAGCTTCCTCTCTACGTGCTTCTGTAATGCTAAATGTCCCTCCTGCGTTATAAATAAAGTTACATCTCATCTTATATGCAGATAACGGTGTCGTGTACATGTCAGCATACCGGCCTCACTTTTCATTTTCTGTCTTTCTTTTAACCAAAGCTGTCTGTGGAGAAAGCGGAACTATCGGCTGCTAAAACAAACGAGCTCACCTGTAGTAGCTTGCAGCCCTTCTTAAGCAACTCGTTCATGTCTTTCGCCGCAACTCCATACTTTCTATTTTCATTGCAACTCCTTATTTTCACGGGCTTGTTTTTCCTGAACAGTCCGAACATTGCACTGTTTTTGTAGTTTGTAGCTACCGCTTCCTCCTTCTTCCTCTCGGAGCTGACTGCGCTCACAGACCGGCGCGCTGCTGCCCCCTAGTGGTCGTGTTCTCACGTTGTCTCTGCTTGTTGGGACGCTGCTTTTACTGCTGGATGAAGTGTTCAGATATATAAGTAAAAGCTGCCATACCGTTTAAAATACTCTAAAAGTCCTGCTTTCAGAACTAAAAATACATCAAAATTGATAAAATCTTAAAGTAGGCAACTCATGCAATGCAAAACTGCATGGCCCCACGAAGGGTCATATAGATATATTGTATACTATTAATTAATTGATTAATTATTATAGTATAGGATGATGCATTAATGCGTAAGCAGCATTTTGATGTAACTGGTTGATGGAAAGCTACAATTTTACAGTATGTTGAAATTAGAGGTATAGGGTGTCAGGATATGGCAATAATCAAAGTACAATGACCTCAAAACCTCATGTATAATACTACAGTAAATGATAACTTTAGGTTGTTGCATGCAAGACAGAACACGTGGGAGGCAAAGTGCTTGGTGTTTACATTCAAAGTGATGGGCCATTAAATGTCACAGGAATAAATAAATCAACTTGAATTGTGTTGGCCCTCTCCATTTGGAGTTAGTAACTTTTACTCCACTCCACTAGTAATGGCACTGACTGTAGGGTCACTTATGTGGGTAGCTTGTATAAAATAAAGTAAACTGATCTTGTGATATTTTGGGGGCTCTGTACTTTTGCAGTCCTGTCATCCACCATTTGCCCTCAGAGGAACCCATCATATAGGCTAATAGTGGCCTAACCTAAAGCAATAATTTAAATAAAATCATCCCTTCTTACTAATAAATCTTTTTTTATACTGAACCTCTTGACTGTCTGAAGGACTTCTCATGTAATGTCTATTTTGAGCATCGTACTGCCTTGGATATATCTGACATTGTTAGGAGATAAACTTATTGTTCAGCCATTTCACACGGGAATCAATTATATTTCCATTTATCAAAGACACACCTGAAGTCAGATAAAGCGGACCATCAGATAAACTCGGAAAAATAAGATCTGAACATTATTCTCCTTAACTTTATCAGGCAGTCACAGGAAATGTTCTCACATTTTGTCATAAAAAAGGACCACCGACCATTTTTTACTACTCTTACTACAAATAATGTTAATATATCTTTAAAATAATGATACGTTTATGTTATTATAATATGCCTTATTCTAAGTATACATGGTACTGACATAACAGTGGATGTTTTATTCAATTTGTTGCATTTAAAGTCCTAAACTCTAGACCCGTATGGCAAAGTGAACATTACCATAGCAACTGATGCAGCGCGACGGGACATACCAAATGAAAGGTTCAGAGGTTAAAATGCGAACATTGTGAAGTACTGTTTTGATGTTCAGTTTCGGGGTGAAATTACTCGACGCATTAGTAACTTTGTCATATGTTAAATGTGTAATATTTGCATTGTTGTTTTAATCGTGAATATAGTGATGCAATCACTGATTTACTCATCTAACCCCTGTGCGCTGAGTAGTACAATCCGATTTCAATATGGCGGCCGCGGGTTTGAAAATCTAAACGGGTGGAGAAGATAAACATTCGCAGTAACAACTCTTACGCTGTATGTCCATACTTTCGCTATGGCATCATCGTGTTACTATTAACTACAGGGTATGGTCAAAACAGAAGACATATTCAACATGGCGGACGGCTGGAGAGAAGTGTTTGAAAGGAGCCGGGTGGTTCCTCCGCCCAGCCAGACAGTTCGCCTGGCTTTGGAAAACCACTTCACCCAGTCCACCGGTCTCCAGCTCCACCTCAGCCGACTCACTGCAGCTCACCTCCCGCAGGTGATTGCTCACAGTTAACGCTGAACGCTTGATGCAGATTTAGAAAGAGTTCTGCTCGTAGCAGAGATGAGGGAGGGTCTGTTTTAATTTGAGTCGACTTTCGGCTGTCTTTATTTAGCAAAGGTATGATACAGGCCCCTATACTTTATCATACGTCACAGTGCGTCTGAAGCAAAGAGCAAAAGTTTAATAATTAAAGCTGACCTTTCATTTGATCAACCAGGCAATTACATTGACCACTGACCCATTGACCACCCATGTCAGAATGCTATGTGTGCTCTTTGCAAATTCGGTTTCGAGATATTTCCCCAAACACCACTGCAGTAAGTCACATACGCGTCTCATGGAAATAAGAAACACTTTTAAGATAACTTAGATTGTTGTTATACACACCAAGTATTACATGTATGCAGAATTTAGCATTTGGATCTTGTATAAAGTTCTGGAGTGAAACCCACTCGTGGATATTTGTTAAATTGGATTAGATTTTAAGGTTTCATTTGTCATACATGTAAACCTTTTAGGGCGACGATTACCTGTGGCTTTTCTAATGTGTGTGTGTGTGTGTTTTTCCTTTTTAGACCCAGGAGATGTCAGGGGGGGAACCAGATGTGACCTACCAGCTGCGAGTGACCCTGTTTGACAGAAACCATCAGCACTTCTTTGGGAAAACATGGAGGAGTCCACCCCAGAGGATGAACAACAACAAGATCTCCCTCAACGAGGTATCTTTACCATCACACCGAGATAAGGCCAGACAACTGCAGATGTGATGCACTGTGTGTTTGGCTCTATTTCAAACTTCTCTCATGTTGTTTTTGATTAGCAGTGGATTGATGATTATATAGTGAAATCAATGCCCATTCAAGCTTAAATTAAATTAATTTGGCACAGCCATGACTTAATTACAACCATCTCAAAAGCTCCACCACTCAAGGCTTTCAATTAGCACTGATGATTGCACTGTGTTCTTCTGCGCTCTTGAGAACGTTGTCAGTCTAAACTCAGCGAGTTACAAAGTGCCCTTATTACCAAAACGTGATTCCAGTTGCATTCAACAAGTCTCATCTTATAATCATCTTCTTCCTCACCCAGCAAGTTGAGGAAGAGCACTTTTTATACAAAGCAACAACTTATGAGAGTTATTACAGGGGATTTTTCATAAGAAAATGATGGATACAATACAGGCACAATGAATAGCAGATCCATTAGTGATCAGGCAGTCGCCACTAATGAAACGTGTCCAGTTATTGTTACAGGGTTAAGAGGTTTCATACATTTAAAAATCACACAATGAATGTATAAAGTTAAACTATGTCCCTAAATCCTCTGAAAACTTGATGTTTCTCTATTACATTCAAAAGCCGTGACTAAAGAAGCAACAATAACGTTTATCAAAGTTGAAGTTCAGAAATATAATATCCAGAAGTATTATTTATTTTGAGTATAATATCTCCTTCCTCGGGAGTGTGTGTGTGTGTGTGTGTGTGTGTGGTTTGATGACGCTGATCTGTCGAGGTAAGCAAGCAACCCCAGCAGGAACGGGCGATATGGATAAAATCCTCTATTATGATGCATCACTTTGCTCTGCAGTATCATTATATAACATGATTTACTACATTCTCTGGAAGATTTATATAGAAACCGTTGATAAATAAATTAAATGTTTGTTTTTGGCTTTGCCAGATAATTATATACCCCCCCCACAAAAAATGTAATTCATCACATTGATGCAAAAATCCTACATTAATTATATATTGTGATAAAGCAGTCCTGCTCTCTGATTAGAAGTTATGTGAAGTCAACAAACTTCACCCAAACAAGTGTCACGTGTGTGAGAGTCGTAGCTAAAAATGAATCAGAGATCATTAACTGTAAGCAGTGATGAGTGTGACGCTACAGTTTGTAGTCTTTTGGTGTGATAATGTACGACAAACAGTGCATTTCAACTGTAGAAATCCTGGCAGACTCGCATTTGCGGAGGCTTTGGTGTATTTTGCTATTTCAACTCTCAGCCCTCTCAGTTTTCACACTCCTTCCGACCAGATGTGAACAAAAAGTTTTGATTGATTTGCAAACAGCATGCACCGGGTACAATAACTCAACATCTAGCGCTTTCCAGAGCGGTGTTTCTGCCTCCTTCAAGGTGTTTCGCAGATGCATCTAATTAGTTCTCTGCTCATCCGCACGAGTGAGCAATAACAGACACCTTTGTCAGCTCTCTGTGGCTGCCATTACATGTTTAACTTTCACCATCGACAGGTTCAGCAGCGCCGCAGAGAACCGGCGGCAGATTGTTAGCAGCAGAGACATAAAACCTGCGAGAAGCCCAGTGAATTCAAAATGGACCATTTGGCTTGACTGCAACAATCGATCACTTTAAACGTCACGACTGAGTTGTGTGACTCAGCAGCACACGGAGGCGAGCATCCGAGCATCCCGATGTTCCAATTTGTTCATTTTACAAGCCTTCTATTCTAACTCGTGGTATCACTTTCAGCTCCGCGTTAGTGTTCGGATGCAGATGGTACGAATGAAAGCGAAAAACTTCGGTGAACAGGACGTCAGTCCTTTGTGGTTTGGAGGTAAATCTGGTGCAATTCCACGTACTTCCTGTCGTATTATTTCTGCTGTGGTTGAGCGGCTCTGAACAAGCAACACTTAAGGCTGTATTGTCTTGTAATTGTAAACGTGAATGAATTTAGCCCGCAGTTTCAGTCAAATGTGTTTGAGTCTCACTTCGTCGCACTTCATTTCTTTACTCTTCCCAATCATTGTTCTCCGAGTCGTTTCTCCTCTGTAATCATCATTAGACAGAGGGAACAAAGAAACACCTTTTTTTTGAGGTGTAAAGTGTGTGATGTACTCTTTGAAGGATGTGCTTTGATGATGAAATATCCAATCGCTTCTTGAAAACGCTAAAGAGAACGCCGTAGACAAACGGAAGACAAACTATACGAAAGATCAAATATGAATCAGATGATCTTCACTGTATCCGTTCCAGTTGAAAGGATCTCTTTTCATTTAGCGAGGCACCCTCTGGTCTGTTTCCTGTACAGTGGTCAAAGTTAAAGTCGATGGCTTCCAACAACCCTTTACACTGTTGGTCAAGAACGCCGCACTCTGATGCATTTTACTTGTAGTCAAAAGAACAATCTTCTTTTACTTATTTCTTTGTGTCCAGAGTAATTAGTTCCACTCTCTGCTGTCCACGGCTGCTTCAGAATATATAAAAAGCTTCTGCTTCAGTTCATGAAGTCCCTGCAGCACCTGAAGGCAGCACGACACATATGTTGATGAATCCACAGCCCCTGAGAAGTGCGCCACGCTGGAGCGAGGAGCCGCTATGCTAGCACTGGTCGTTCACTGCGCCTGAGAACGACACCAGGCTGCTGCAGTAGAAGCACACAGTCGTAGTGAGACTTTTCGGTCCACAGGAAACGAGGCCAGGAAGACAACCAGACAGCCCTCACAACCAATAAACCCTTCTCACGGCAGCCATTCTGACATGTAATAGCAGGGTAAACACAGGGGTAATTGATAAAACTGATGAAGGTCCCATTCTGTTCAGTGTCCCGGCCATTACGGTGAGCCAGCATGCCCAACACCAGGGCCCCAGCCCATCTAAATGGAACAGGGCCATCGCTTTTTTTTTTTTCAATCACACCTGTGTTTACCCTGCAATTACATGTGGAAATGGCTGCGACATTCAATGTCGGTAAAACATGAGAAATAGACTTATTTTTGGGAGAAACGTCTCTGATTGTGGGGACTTGTTATGTTATTATACACGTCGCACTGAAAGCAATCATTTCACAGAGGGACGGGAGACAGAATGAGGGAACGAGCCAGACTTTTTTTTCCTGCCCTTCTTCCTCGTTCAATCCAGGCAAAACAGCATCACTGCTGATGGCAGCTGTTCCGCACCTTCTGGCTTAAGACACCCGACGAGGCGTCCCTGCGATCGCGTAGAGCTTGAACCTCGATCCTCCAGTGGGAAGATGCAGTCAGCCAGAGGAGTTTCTTGTGAAAGGGTCCTCGGTTTCATCCGCTGAAAGCGGGTCTCCAGCGTCGTGTTTACCGTCTCTTTTAAGTCATTATATTATGTTATGTTTGAGCGGATATCTGTGGAACAGCTGGATGTCTGTGTTCTCTCTCAATCAGACATCTGAAGGCCTCTGAACATCCTCGTTGGAGGCCATGTCACCCACTGTTTTATGATCGCGTCGGAGCGCTGCCGACCTCCTCCGCAGCCTCCTGATGTTCACGACGCCTGATCTGCTCTCGGTGCGAGCTGTTGTTCGAGATGTTTTGAGAAACTCTTTTTGAAGGAAATAACACCGTGAGCTGTAGCTGGCTGATAAATGCGTTGCAGAAGTCTTTTTTTCTAACAGAGACACCAATGAGTCACAGCTATGGCACATTCTGATTCCCAGTTTTTATCACCATCTGTTTTCTCTCCTTCCCTCTGCTCCATGTCCTTTTTGATCGAACAATCTCTCACAGCGTATGGCCTCACTTTGATCCGCCATAATAGTCGTAGCCCGAATATAAAAACCCACTTGGTATCCCAATAAGTGTCCAAATCCCATTATCCATCCAGGGTAATAATATAAAGCACATCATATCCCATCAGGATGATAAAGTGGGGCTGGCCTTCTCGGTGTCGTGCCGCCAGAGATGCACCAGCTTTTCTTTTTTTTTATTGGATTTGGCCCGATGCGCTTGCATTCATGCTGGTGTTTATGAGTGGCAAATTGCTGTTTGATATCTAAATAATGTCAGAGGGGGGAATTCTCTCTTCAGTTACAGGGAGCACGGTGAAAATTGCGAGGCCGGCCCCCCACCTCCCCCCCGGTCAGCCATGATGGATTGCTTTTAATATCGTCTGGAAAGCAAATATGCGCAGTGATTAAAGAGGGAGAGAGAGAGGCAGCTCTTGTTAGATCTATCTTCTTGCTTCGGCATTTCTTTCCTCCCCAGCAGAGGCAATGACGACATCTGTTTGTTTTCTTGCCGCTCCGCGTGTTTGTTGTTGAGCTGTCAAGTCTGACTTATGGAGCCGCTGTTTTAAAAAGTAGAGTGCACATTTTGGGACTGTTCGATTGTTGTTTTTTGTAAATGCTTTAATGGTTTTCAAATCTTGTGGAACCTGCTTTTATTTATGGAATTCAATGTATACAGCCCTTTAAATTCACACCGAAAAATGTAGGCCTTTTCTTCTGTTTAGGTCTATTTGCTTGGATGCACAAAGGGAAATGTATGTTATTGCACATTTCCTTTGATGGGATTCTGAGGAAGAACAATGCCATGACATGGGCTTATATGTGTGTGCATTAAAAACAACAACTCTTTTAAGCAAAGTCAATTCACAATCTGGAGACTAATGTATCTTTAAAAAATCCTGGTACAAAGTCCAGTATGTCTTACATCACCCAGAATACTAGTTGCTGTTTTTCTCACATAATGACTCAGTCTGGATGTTTTCCACAAGGTTGCTCTCCTTTGCTGCACTCAGTCAAAGGGAGTGGAGGCCGTGGCCAGCAGAGGGCAATGTTGGGCCATAACACAGTCGGCCTCAGACGGAGGAGTTCATCGGTGGGAGGAGGCAGAAGGAGAGAAATGTGCATCTTTCTGCATTGTCTCTCACTGTGATCACTCCATTTGAACTCCCTGCCTTCACGGGGAGCCGGTGGTTTCTTCTCATATGTGCAACATTATCAGG